ACAAATATTTTCATGGCAACTGCTCTAATAAGCTATTTGCATTGGTACCCAACTGCATAAATTTAAGTGTGCTACAAGGTTGGCATCTCAGTCCCACCCTTTTACTATCAAAACAGTTAAATGTAACCGCCTCTTCTCTTGCACTTCCCAACAGTGGAATTCCCTTCCTCTTACTTGCTTCCCTGATAACTATAATCATCAAAAATTTAAATCTAATGTCAATTGACATCTTCTGATGCCTTGATCTCCGTTCTTCTTTTTATCCTTTCCGCAATGTGCCCCCCCCAATACCCAGTCTTTTCTCTTACTTTCATTTTCTTTAACCCCTTGCATACTAGTGGCACTCCAACCTTGCTTGGGGTGAAATGCTTTAAAAAATATATATATTTGGTCAGGTGATTCTGCTGTGCATCTAAAGATACTTGACAAAATTGCAAGAATCTACAATGTTATGCAGCCGTAAATGTAACTGTAAGTTCTATACTCATAGTTTCTTCTCTTGCAATTTTTGCTTGTGGAACTCTCTTATGGTTTCTTGCTTTTTCATTGATTTGTTTTTTATGGTTTATCAACCTTTTATACGTTATTTAAAGTCACAAAATATTTTTAGATTCTAAATATTTTTTGGAGATTATAATGGTTTATTGATACAAGTCTTACTAATTAACCCATACCTGGGGGAGAAAGGTATTTTTGTATGTAAGTGAATATAACCATTTAACATAGACTTGCATCTAGTTCCGATAGTAATTCTGAATATTGATTGAGCCAAATAGGAATGGAAAAAATTTTGACAAGTGATTGATTATATTTCTTTCACCTTGGGCTCAAAGCTTTTTATCAAAAAAAAAACAAACTTAGGAGTACATCAAGGCCTCATGGGTTATCTAGTTTTTCTTCAGAGAGGGAGAGAAAGATAAATTGAAAGGTAAATGAATGACAAAATAGAAAAACATTCCATGGCTTGTAAATTTTAATGCCTACAAAACAAAACTGCTCTCATTTACCCACCATGGATAACTCTGCCTGTCTCCAATCAGAATGGATAATGCCCAACTCCATGAGAGTGCCTCTATGTGCCTGCTTGGTCTCACACTCTCTGCTGATCTAAGGTGGAACAAATACATTGAATCAATAGCTTCATCTACCGCAAGGAAAGTTGGTTCTCTGTGTCATGCCAGAAGGTTTTTCTCGACTAAGTCCATCCTTCAAATCTACAAATCAACCATTCATCCTTGCATGGAATACTGCTGCCATATATGGTCTGGTGCCCCTGTTGTTCATCTTGAGGTCCTCAACAAAATCCAGAGACAGATATGCAATGTGATGGATCCTGATCTGGCATCTCTTCTACAGTCAATTTCTCACAGACGTGCCATAGCTTCCTTCTGTCTTTTCTAAAAGCATTTTCATGGCAACTGCTCCAACAAGCTACTTTTGCCGATTCCCAAATTGCATGAATTTAAGTATGCTACCAGGTTGACATCTTGGTACCACCCTTTCACTGATGAAACATTTAAATGTAGCCATCTTCTTATCTCGCACTTCCCATCTGTGGAACTCTCTTCCTCTTACTTGCTTCCCTGATAGCTATAATCTTCAAATATTCAAATGTAATGTCAATCAACTGATGCCTTGATCTTGTACCCTGTCCTTTTCTTTATCCTTTCCTCAAATACGCCTCTTTACTCTTACTCTCTGTAACCCCTTGCATGCTAGTGGCTCTCCTGGCTTGCTTGGGGTGAGATGCTTAAAAAAAATGTCTGAGAGACCCCTTTCTGACTTCTATCAGCATGGCTGATGCTAACCTCCAGGAGAGTGACTTGTTGTGCCACCTTGTTCCCTGCTGACATGAAGTGGAATGATTATGTTGAATCTATTGCTAGGTTTGTTGCTAACATGCTAAACAATTTTCCTAACCAGAATCTATCTTACACATTTATAAGTCTACCATTCATCCTTGTTTTGAATATTGCCGCTGAATCTGGTTTGATGCTCCTGCTACATATTTAGAGATTCTTGATAAAAATCCAAAGAAGAATCTGCAATATTATTGAGCCTGACATCCTGAATTCAGTCACTTACCCACCACCCTAATGTAGCTTCCCTGTGCCTTTTCTATAAACACTTACATGGTAACTGTTCTGTTGAACTTTCCTCTTTGGTACCTGGACTATGAATTTAAATGCAGTACTAGATTGGCAGCAAGGTCTCATCATTTTACAGTTGAACTGACTTGATGTAGCTGTAAGTTCGATACTAACAGTTTCTTTTCTGACCTGTGAAACTCTGTGGATTATCAGTTATCTCCCTTGAACTATTTCTATAAAAGGAACTCTTCAGTGAGGACAAGTGCTTAGGTTGTTTAATGTTTATCACCTAAGCCAGTGAACACTCTCTTCGGTCTTCTTGTTTTCAAGCCAGCTTTGATATTCAAACATTTAAATGCAGTGTCAATTGTTATCTGTTATCTTTTTGATTATTCTTTTACACAGTAACCCCGTATGTCTTTGTGGCTGCATTGCCTTACTTGGGTTGAAATGATTAAAAAAAAAAATGTAAATCATTTCATCTTTCAAAAGGATTTCATCATACTAAAATAATATTGATGGAATTTTCAGGTCACCAGTGTATTTATTTCAGCAATGTTACTACTGGCAGAGCACTAGAGGCACACCAGTAGCCCGTCAGTGAGCCACTAGCAGCGTGCATGTAGGGTGTGTGTGTGTGTATATATATAATACATAAAAGGTTAATGGTCAGAGTTGAATCAGACCAGGAAACAGTAGTATTAAAAAGTGCTCAATATACGTGTGATAAAAAAAATAATAAAGTAAAATTAACATGTAGAGTTTTTAACTTTAAAAATCATGAGGTCAGTTGAATCCGCTAGCTTGGTTTCAACCTTATGGTATCCTCAGGTGATTTTTATCAAACGATCTCTTAACACTTTATTTTTTTAAAAAAACTAATGAATGCTATATTATTGTTTTAAAAAATAAACAAATGCATAACGTTGTGGGTAATAAAAAGGGAGGAAGAGGAGGGTGTGAAGAAAGAAGTACACACACACACACACACACACACACACATATATATATATATATATATATGTAGAGAGAAGGGACAAAAACATAGGTTATAATTATGCATAGAAACACTGAAGATGTAAGGATGTTGAACTTTAAATTTCTGGTATCTGATGGGTCTAGACATACAGTTTAGCTGATTTCATTCAGCTTTACAACACTTTTGTTCCTGTTTTAACTGTTTTAAATATCCAACATTGTAAGAGCAATAGATTTGTTAAGATATGTATGACTCTAGATGTGAAAACTCAGAAATCAATGCATTTTCTGTACATTTTTTAATTAAAAAAACTTATTTAATTAACACTGCATTCTATCAATAACATCATTATCTTTGTCTGATGAAGTCCTTTTGAAAGACAAAACATGTGGCATAGAATTTTTTCCATTTTGCCATTAAATTACTATTATTCAACAATAAAATTTGATACAGAGTATTTCCCAAATCTGCCTGGATTTCCAAACTGGTGAAGAATGGTTACCTGGCTGATGGAAGACATGTGACCAACCTTGTTAGGTGATGATGAGGAAGAATTAAGCAAATGAGATTAGGGCGTGAAATGTTTAACAGGGAGAAGGAGGCAGCTGAGCCAAAATTGGGATAGCATGTGAAATGATTGAGAAATAAGAATCATTAATTAGGAATCTGAGACTCCAAGTTCTACCCAGCATCCACCTGAAAAATATTCAGGCAATTAGAGTTGGAATTGGTCTTAGAAGATTTAACAAAAGTACACAGGAGTCACTACAGATGGAACTCTTATATTAGTCCTCACTCCCCACCATGAAAGACAATGTATTTGACAAACAGGATAAAAAGACAAAATTTTGGAAAGAGAAGAGCAAAAGATAGATTATTGGACAAAAAGATGTAGTGTCAAACAATGAGGAGCAAGAGAAAAAGTGTCGGACAATGAAGAGCAAGAAAAAAGTGTCGGACAATGAAGAGCAAGAGAAAAAAATGTCGGACAATGAAGTGCAAGAGAAAAAGTGTCGGATATAGAATAGTAAAATATAAAGTATTGGACCATAAAGAGCAGAAGACATGTCAGTAGGGCAGGTCAATTTTCGAACTGTGGTATTGAAAGTTGGGGTTTGTCCATGACAAATAGAAACACAAATTTTTTTTTTCTTTTCTTGAGGAAATGAGTTTCAAAATTGTAGTGTGAGAATTTCATTCTGGTGATTAATGAAAGCCTTACAGGACAACCTTATAAAATTTATAATTTACTGAAGTTTTATAAATTGTAGATGGACAAATTGCTTGACACAAGCACATTCTTATTATTAAATCATTGTGCCATCAAATAAGACCTTCATTTTTTTTTTTAAAGGGAAATTATACTGAACAGTTTAGTTATATTATGATGTAATATGTTATACAATGTAGTAGTTTTAGTGTGATTTTTAATAAACAATGCAAATTTAAAACAGTTTGTCTTATAATTTGTGACCAACAGTCTTATGGTGCTATATACACTTTTTTTTTTTATTAATTATAAACTAACAAATCTTATTCATTGGGTAGCCTTTTTTGTAATTTTTGACAATTTTTTTTTTACATATCAAATACAGTAAGAAAAAACATGCTTGTGGTTAATTAATTAGAATTCTGGTTTGAATATATTTTCCATTCAATATATCTAATACAAAATATATCAAATTCATTTTGGATTTATTCTTGAAATAGTAAAATTTTAAAATCAGTTTGTAAGCAAAAACCTGCAGAAATTACTTATATCTGTACATATTTTTCAGATGATCTTTAAAACTAAATGTTCAAAAGTTGGTAAAAGACATGAATTTAACTTTTGGTGTCAGTACTTATCACATCAAACCTCAGCTTTCACACCAAGTGCAATGTTGATTTTCTAAAAAAGTGAAAAATCAACTTGCCTTAATGTGCCAAAGATGTCCAGATGTATACAAAAAGAAACAGTGATGATGTTAAAACTCTACAAATCCTTTTCGTTTCTCAATTTTTATCACCCTTTATATTCATAGTAGGAAACTTAATTTTCTTTGGTACTAAAAAAATAAATTAACTTCCAGGAAAACAATGTTCAAAGTAAAATATTCTTTTATTTATTTATTTTTTTTTCTTTTTTAATGAACTACAAACACTTCAACTGGAACAATCCAAAAAAAAAAACAAGTATCATCATTCTTCTTCTATTCCCTCACTTTCTATTACATTCTTCCTCCTCCTCCTTCTCTCACTTTCCTTAACTTTCTTCCTCCTCCCCCTTCTTCATTCTCATCTTCCTCTTCTATTCCCTCACTTTCTATTACATTCTTCCTCCTCCCCCTCCCCTCTCATCTTCCTCTTCTATTCCCTCACTTTCTATTACATTCTTCCTCCTCCCCCTCCTCCTCCCTCTCATCTTCCTCTTCTATTCTCTCACTTTCCTTAACTTTCTTCCTCCTCCCCCTTCCTCTTCTATTCCCTCACTTTCTATTACATTCTTCCTCCTCCCCCTCCTCTCATCTTCCTCTTCTATTCTTCTTTCCTTCTTTCTTCCTCCTCCCCTTCTTCTTTCTCATCTTCTTCTTCTTTCTCCCTTCTTTCTTTATTCTTCCTCCTCCTTCCTCTTCTTTCTCATCTTCCTCTTCTATTCTTCTCCTCTTCTTTCTTCCTCCTCCCTTCTTCTTCTTTCTCATCTTCTCTTCTATTCCCTTCTTTCTCATTACATTCTTCCTCCTCCCTTCCCTTTCTCATCTTCCTCTTCTTTCTCATCTTTTCTTCTTTCTCATCTTCTTCTTCTTTCTCATCTTCTCTTCTTTCTCATCTTCTTCTTTCTCATCTTCCTCTTCTTTCTCATCTTCCTCTTCTATTCCCTCACTTTCTTCATTCTTTCTCATCCCCTTCCCCTCTCATCTTCTTCTTTCTTTCCTTCTTCTTCTTTCTCATTCTTCCTTCTTTCCTCCTCTCCCTCTTCTATTCTCATCTTTTCTTTCTTTCTTCCTCCTCCCCTTCTTCTTTCTCATCTTCCTCTTTCTCATTCCCTTCTTTCTATTACATTCTTCTTCCTCCCCTCCTCCTCTTTCTCATCTTCCTCTTCTTTCTCTCACTTTCCTTTCATCTTCTTCCTCCTCCCCTTCTTCATTCTCATCTTCTTCTTCTATTCCCTCTTCTTTCTCATCTTCTTCTTCTTCCTCCATCCTCCTCTTCTCCCTCTTCTATTCTCTCCTTTCAATCTTTCTTCCTCCTCTTCTTCTTCTTTCTCATCTTCTCTTCTATTCCTCTTCTTTCTATTTCTTCTTCCTCCTCCTCCTCTTTCTCATCTTCTTCTTCTATTCTCTCACTTTCTTCTTCTTTCTCCTCTTCATTTTCTTCTTCTTTCTCATCTTCTTTCTTTCTCATTCCCTCTTCTTTCTATTACATTCTTCTTCCTCCCCTCCTCCTCTTCTCCCTCTTCTATTCTTTCTCATCTTCTTCTTAACTTTCTTCCTCCTTCCCCTTCTTCATTCTCATCTTCCTCTTCTATTCCCTCACTTTCTTCTTCTTTCCATCCCCCTTCTTTCTCATCTTCCTCTTCTATTCCCTCTTCTTTCTATTACATTCTTCCTCCTCTTCTTTCTCATCTTCTTCTTCCTCTTCTATTCTCTCTCTTTCTCATCTTTCTTCTTTCCTCCCCTTCTTTTCTTTCTCATCTTCCTCTTCTATTCTCTCATCTTTTATTCATTCTCATCTCCCTTCTTCTTTCTCATCTTCTTCTTCTTTCCCTCTTTCTCTTCATTCTTCCTCATCTTCTTCTTCTTTCTCATCTTCCTCTTCTATTCCCTCACTTTCTATTACATTCTTCTCCTCCTTCTCTCTTCTTCTTCTTCTTCATCTTCTTCTTCTTTCTCATCTTCCTCTTCTATTCCCTCACTTTCTATTCATTCTTTCCTCATCTTCCTCTTCTTTCTCATCTTCTTCTTTTTCTCTCTTTCCTTTCTTTCTTCCTCCTCTTCTTCTTCATTCTCATCTTTCTTCTTTCCCTCATCTTTCTATTCTTTCTTCCTCTTTCTTCTTCATTCTCATCTTCTTTTCTATTCTTCTTCTTTCTATTACATTCTTCCTCCTCCCCCTTCTTCTTTCTCATCTTCCTCTTTCTCATCTTCCTTTTCTTTCTCATTCTCCTCCTCTCATTTCTTCTTCTTTCTTCCTCTCCCCTTCTTCATTCTCATCTTCCTCTTCTTTCCCTCACTTTCTTTCATTCTTCTTCTTCCTCCTCCTCTTCTTCTTCTTTTCTATCTTCTCTTTCTCATCTTCTTCTTTCTCATCTTCTTCTTCTTTCTCATCTTCCTCTTCTATTACATTCTTCCTCTTTCCCCTCATCTTCTTCTTCCTCTTCTATTCTCTCTTTCTTCTTTCTCATCCTCCCCTTCTTTTTCTCATCTTCTCTTCTATTCCCTCACTTTTCTTCATTCTTTCCTCCTCCCCCTTCTTCATTCTCATCTTCCTCTTCTATTCCCTCACTTTTCTATTACATTCTTCCTCCTTTCTTCATTCTTTCTTCTTCTTCTATTCTCTTTCTATTCATTCTTCTTCTCATCTTCCTCTTCTTTTTCTCTTCTTCTTCTTTCTTCATCTTCTTCTTATCTCATCTTCCTCTTCTTCCTCCTCTTCTTTCTCATCTTCTTCCTCCTCCCCTTCTTCATTCTCATCTTCCTCTTTTATTCCCTTCTTTCTATTACATTCTTCCTCCTCCCCTTCTTCATTCTTCTTCCTCTTCTATTCCATCTTCTTTTTTCTCATCTTCTTCTTCTTCCTCCTTCTTCTTCTTTCTCATCTTTCTTCCTCCTCCCTTCTTCATTCTTGCTTCTTCTTCTTTCTATTCCCTTCTTTCTCATCTTCTTCCTCCTCCCCTTCCTTCTTCTCATCTTCTCTTCTATTCCCTCTTCTTTCTTACATTCTTCCTCCTCTTCTTCTTCTTTCATCTTCTTCTTCTTTCTCCTCTTCTTTCTTTCTCATTCTTCCTCCTCCTCCTTCTTCTTCTTTCTTATCTTTCTTTCTCCTCCCCCTTCTTCTTTCTCATCTCTTCTTTCTATTCCCTCACTTTCTTCATTCTTTCCCCCCCTCCTCCTCTTCCTCTTTCTATCTTCTCACTTTCCTTCTTTCTTCCTCCTCCCCTTCTTCATTCTCATCTTCTTCTTCTATTCCTTCTTCTTTCTATTACATTCTTCCTCCTCCTCCTTCTCTCTTCTTTCCTCTTCTTTCTTCCTCCTCCCCTTCTTCTTTCTCATCTTCCTCTTCTATTCCCTCTTCTTTCTATTACATTCTTTCCTCCTCCCCTTCCTCCTCTCATCTTCTTCTTCTATTCCCTCACTTTCTATTCTTCTTTTCCTCATCTTCTCCTCCTCTCTCTCCTCTTCTATTCTCTCATCTTCTTCCTCATCTTTTTTTCCTCCTCCCCTTCTTCATTCTCATCTTCCTCTTCTATTCCCTTCTTTCTATTCTCATCTTCTTTCTTCCCCTCCTCCTCCTCTTCTTTCTCATTCTCTCCTTTCCTTCTTCTTCTTCCTCATCTTCTTCTTCATTCTCATCTTCTTCTTCTCATTCCCTCACTTTCTATTACATTCTTCCTCCTCCTTCTCTCTTTTCCTTCTTTCTTCCTCTCCCCTTCTTCTTCTCATCTTCTTCTTTCTCATCTTCTTCTTCTTTCTCATCTTCTTCTTTCCCCTCCTCCTCCTCTCTCCCTCTTCTATTCTTCTTCTTCTTTCTCATCTTTCTTCCTTTCCCTTCTTCATTCTCATTCTCTTCTATTCTTTCTCATCTTTCTTATTACATTCTTCCTCCTCTTTCTCATCTTCCCCTTTCTCATCTTCTCTTCTATTCCCTCACTTTCTATTACATTCTTCCTCCTCATCTTCTTCTTTTCTCATCTTTCTTCTTTTCTCTCTTCTTTTTCTTTCTTTCTTCCTCCTTCCCCTTCTTCATTCTCATCTTCCTCTTCTTTCTCCTCTTTCATCTTCTTCTTCCTCCTCCCCTTCTTCATTCTCATCTTCCTCTTCTATTCCCTCACTTTCTATTACATTCTTCCTCCTCATCCCCTCCTCCTCTCATCTTCCTCTTCTATTCTCTTCCTTTCTTTTCTTCTTTTCTTCCTCCTCCCCTTCTTCATTCTCATCTTCCTCTTCTATTCCCTCTTCTTTCTATTACATTCTTCTTCCTCCCCTTCTTCATTCTCATCTTCTTCTTCTCTTTCCCCTAATCTTCTTCTTCCTCCTCCCCTTCTTCATTCTCATCTTCCTCTTCTATTCCCTCACTTTCTATTTCTTCTTTTTCCTCCTCCCCCTCCTCCTCCTCTCATCTTCCTCTTCTATTCCCTCACTTTCTTCATTCTTCCTCCTCCCCCCTTCTTCATTCTCATCTTCCTCTTCTATTCCCTCACTTTCTATTCTACATTCTTCCTCCTCCTCCTTCTTTCTCATCTTCTTCTTTCCTCTCCTTCTTCTTCATTCTCATCTTCCTCTTCTATTCCCCTCACTTTCTATTACATTCTTCCTCCATCTTCCTCCTCCTCCTCTCATCTTCCTCTTCTATTCCCTCTTCTTTCTATTACATTCTTCCTCCTCCCCTTCTTCTTTCTCATCTTCCTCTTCTATTCCCTCACTTTCTATCTACATTCTTCCTCCTCCCCCTTCTTCATTCTCATCTTCCTCTTCTATTCCCTCACTTTCTATTACATTCTTCCTCCTCCCCCTCCTCCTCCTCTCATCTTCCTCTTCTATTCTCTCACTTTCCTTAACTTTCTTCCTCCTCCCCCTTCTTCATTCTCATCTTCCTCTTCTATTCCCTCACTTTCTATTACATTCTTCCTCCTCCCCCTTCTTCATTCTCATCTTCCTCTTCTATTCCCTCACTTTCTATTACATTCTTCCTCCTCCCCCTCCTCCTCCTCTCATCTTCCTCTTCTATTCCCTCACTTTCTATTACATTCTTCCTCCTCCCCCTTCTTCATTCTCATCTTCCTCTTCTATTCCCTCACTTTCTATTACATTCTTCCTCCTCCTCCTCCCCTCATCTTTGTCTTCTATTCTCTCACTTTCTTTTACATTCTCCCTCCCTATTTTCCTTAACTGTCTTCTACTCTTCTTTTGCACACATCCTTATTATCTTCTGACACCATCCTTTTCTATTCTTATTTCTTTTCCCCCTTCTTTGCTTTGTCATTTTTCCTACTTTCTGCTTTCTTAGACAACCTATAAATCCTAACAGGATGCCAATGGCATAAATGCAGGCAACACATCTCTTTGTCTTAATGGAAGTGAAAGGAATAATACAAAGAAGTCAGAGTGGAAGACAAAACATTTTTATATGATACATTCACCTCCATCTGCAAAGAACAATGACTGTTTGCAAAAGGAAAGATCATTTTATCCACCGTTTGAAATTCCACTTCTTAAAAAAAGACTAATCTCTATCAGACTGAAAAACATTTTAAACATTAAACCTCCAAAATGAAAACTAAAACAAAAATGTCTTATTGTTTTATTTCAAGTTTTTCACACTAACTGCAGAGAACAATGAACATCTTCCTTTGGCATCGAGACCGGGAAACATGGAAGGTTTTATTTTGTTGGGTCTTGAAACACTCAAAAATATTTCCCATGTAAATTAAAAATACAGTGAGCCCCTACCTATTCCCGTTTCAACATTCACAGCTTCACAAATTTGTGGATTTTTCTTTAGAACATATGCACTTGTTATTTGTAGAAACCCTGAATATTTATGTGTTTTTCTGAAGAACATATGTACAAATTATTCACTGAGAACTCCCACAATCCAAATATTTTTTTGATAGAACATATTTAAAATATTCTTGTATTATTTTCCTGTTATTTAAGTGACTTAAAACATATAACAGTCCATTTTTATGGTAAAAATTGGTAGAAATGTACATCTTAATTATAAAAAAACAAACAGAAAAACATGTATAGTGCCTGGGTTTTGTTCTTTGTTAGGGGAGGGGGGTCTTAAAAGTGGCTTATGCTAAATCTGGGAGCTTCATCAGAGTTCTGTTTTTAGAAAATATTATAAACTTTATATTTTATGTCTTGTTACACATATACAGTATCTTCAATGGCTATATCAATCTATGCATAATTAAAAATGATTATTGTGCATATAAAAAAAAATTACACTAAGTGTATAGTCATAAATACTATTTTTCAAAAATGTTTTAAAAATGCTCTGAAATGTTTCTAAAGTATTTAGGATGAAAGTTTAAGGCATATGGGGTTTTAAAAATCAAAATAGATACTTATAAGCACCTTTTAGGGGGGGTTATAAGTATTCGCAGATTCTAACTATTTGCGGCCAGTTCTGGTCCCTAACACGCGCGAATATGGGGGATTCACTGTATTTTTCATTTTTTTAATGAACCACCAATGCTTCAACTGGAACAATTAAAAAAAAACAAGTATCATCATTCCAAGCAATTTACAATCAAAATAGACAAAATATTCTGAGAATTAATACCAAAACACATGTAAAATTTTCATGTTGTATATAATCAAAACATTTCTACCTGACATATGGAAGTTTTTAACAACCTATATATATATATATATATATATACTTTTTAATTCTTTGTCTTATTAAAACTTTACAGTTGACTTGTGTTAGCTTTTGACAAACATATATACAATCTCCTTTGATTTACAAACTTTCTCTATTATTTTGGTCTCATTCATGGAATAATGATAGTCCTTCATTCAGACAATAATAGTAAATTACAATTAGAAAATATTTTTTTTTCCTTTATCAGTGTTGTAACTTCTATAATATTTTTTTTTCTTGCTATGTAAACTTACCTGAGCTTCATCAAAGCAATAACGATCAGGATTGTTTTCTATCCTACGTCGCACTAATTCAGCAATTGTACTGTCCACATTTACAGGGTTATGACAACCTGGGGCCAGAAATTCCCTGAAAAAAAAAAATTTTCAATAGGTCAGTGAAATTCCAACAGAAATATTGTATAGGTCAACCTTTTCAATGCCATATTTTTCACAGCCCTAGTGTGACAAAATTCACAAAAATTAGCCCATGTTTTGCATCTTGAATTTCATAATAAGGGCAAGAAAACTTTAAAAATAAGTCAATTTAAGTGATATTAGTTATGCAGAAGAAAATAAGAATTGCTTGAAATTTATTAAAGAAATTTGAATATCTTTGTTATGCAACTGTTGTCATACATGGCAATGAAAGGGCTAAAACTAATAATGTATTATTAGTGCTGAAAAATTCTTTAAAAAAATTGTTTGGCTATTTCATCAGATTTTGGGAAGTTGGGCTGAGAACTTTTAGTTTACAGAAAAATCTTTTATCCATAACAAAAAAATAATTTTATTCAATTCATATATAAGTCAATATTCATAATTTTTTTTTCTTAGAAGAAGAAATATAATTGTAAACAGATGAGAAGACAATGTAATATTTTGAAATTCTGATGGGGTTATAGACATATTGAAATATCAACAAAGTTTGCAAAACATCTTTTAATCAAATATTTTCCTAAGAGTCTGCTTTAATTTTTATATTCTAAACATGTCCGTAATTAAGTGGTGGCATTGTATAACAGACAGACACAGCAACCAATTACTATAGATGAGGAACTCGAGTTGGGTCTAGTTTACTATGTAAATTCATTGTAAATGGATCCCCCCTATGGAAGCCAAAACAAATAAGCTCACATGACATGATTTCTTAAATTATAAATTTTTTTTTAAAATTTGTACTCTGAAGTTCTTAATCGATAGCAGTATATGAAATATTTTTTTAGATTTTAAGAAATCACATGGTATGAGCCTTTTTCTTTTTGCCTTCCATAGGGAGGATCTATTTACATAGCAAAATAAACACCTCTCCACTTTTAACTTCTATAAAATTTCATTAAAATTTTTTTTTTTTTTTTTTTTTTTTTTTTTTTGGTATTCTTGATCTGGAGTGTTTAATTTACGGCTGTATTTCTCAAGCGATGTTACCCAGAACCCTAGGATTCCACAAGAGGTCACTAGGGGGTCCACAAGAAACAGTGATAAATAGGCTAATGCATTTTTGAGTAATTTTTGTTTAATTTTATATTTATAATTTTACTATACGCATATGACATATTATTGGAAAAATCTGTAGTTATTAAAACAAAGTTTCAAACTTTTATATTATTTAAAATTATAATAATCATAGGGAATGGATTTAGCAATGTCTATATGGCGTCAGTATGAAATGGCCTTCATTTGTTAGTGGACAGGAACTGTATGTGATGGATTCATGACTCACTCGAGTACATGACATATCAACAATGTCCTATATTATGTTTATGATAAAAATATAAAAGAGATAGATATTAATAATGATATATATTTTTTTATGCAAGTGTTCCCTGAGATATGAAAACTATTTCAAGTGTGACACAAGACTAAAAAGGTTGAGAAATGCTTCTGTAAAGCGATAAAAATGTAGATTTGAATGAAGTGTAGACACATGAGTATCAATATCTGACGAGCATATTTAATAGCATGATTCAAGTTTTTAGGTCAATGTTTAGCTCTTGTGAGGTTGAGTAAAACCCTCCCCAGTGCAACCTATCCTCCGTCTAATTTCTTTAAGTCCTGCACTAAATTTGTTATCAGATAGTAAATATAACTCAAAAATTTCCATAAAAGTCAAATTGCAGGACTTGAATCTGTAGACCAGCATTTCTCAACCAATGTTATCTGGAACCCTAGGTTTCCGCAAGAGGTCAGTAGGTGTTCCGGGAGAAACAGTGATAAATAGGCTAATATATTTTGAATAATTTTTGTTTAATTTAATATTAATAATTTTACTATATATATGTATGGAATATTGTTGGGGAATTCTTGGTTATTATTATAATAAAGACTTCAACTTATATTATTTAAAATTATAATAATCATATCGAATGTATTTAGCTGCCTTCATTGGTGAGTGGACAGGACCTTTACATGACGTATTCATGTATCATTGAGTGACTTATTATGTAAATTTTGATAAAAACATGAAAGAGATAGATATTAATAATGGTATATAATAATTTTTAAGCCAAAGTTCTCTGAGATGTGATAACTATTTCAAGGGTGGCACAAGGCTAAAAATGTTGAGAAAAGCTGATCTATAGTAATAGTAAAGTGATTATTTAAGGTCAAAGTACCAATTGCACAACTCCACCAATCAATTAATTAAAACTAATTTTCTTTCAGTAATGAGCCTTCTTGATATTTCTGTTCACCTGCAAAACATTAATGCAGAACTGAAGCAAAGCGTTAGAAAGAAGATGGTACAGAATCATCAAATATCATCCTAGGTGTCTCCTCTACAGACCGCATCATAAATAACACAGTGCAAGGCACCATCAAATAAGAAACAGACACACTGGAAGAGCTGGTATCGACTATTAAGAAGAAGGAGTTGAAACATTACAGGCACATCATAAGAATCAACAATCTTTCTACTTCCATCCCACAAGGTTCTACCTTTGGCAAAAGAAGAGAAAGAACACTGAAGAAAAGAATGAGCTGGAAGATCATTCAAAGAGACTCTCGGTCACTTGCATGTAATTAATACACATGTAGAGAACTGATCAGGTGCTCAGCCGTTGTAGGGACTTGATGACCACACCCCCCTGATGATGATGATAATGATAATTAGGTCTTACAAATTATTGACCAATAAATATTTTCATAAAGTTGAAGATTAGGAATTTTCAAAATGCATGCCAAATATTTAGAAATAATTTCAAAGAACCAAAACTTATTTTGAGATAAAAAGCAATCATATTCCTTGAAACTTTTCTGCATTCTGTTACATTACAAGTGGCACAGATCTGTGAAAGATGCTGGTTTCCACTACATTAAGATAGAGGACTTTCATGTCATTTTCAACAGATGAGGTTCCAGCAACTTAGTTCTTAGAACTGAACAGCCAGACTACCTGCAGATATGATTATAATGGTGGAGAAGGCTTGTGCAGAACTGACCACCCTTTTTTGTAAGAGCTGAAGAACTTGTGCACAGTATGCCGCAAGGTCTCAAAACAACACTTCATGGGTTTTAAATTCAGAATTTTCATTCTATTAGATTGGTTGCCATTCAAAACTATAGTCTATCCTGCTATTTACTCATAGCTCAGGGGAGAAGAGACAGATTCATAACTTTCTCAAGGTTATTAGTACATAAGTGAATATAACAAACTTGACTAGAATTCAAAATCAGCTGTCCGATTCCTCAATCCAAACTACAGCCCATTAATCCACTGTGCCCCAATTTAAGATAAAATGAATCTGGCTATACCACATTCTGTTTATATAAGTCTAACAATTATTTAATACATTTTCTGTTTATACATTATTTTTATAGATATAATTTATTTAAGTAGGGGCTCTGTTTTTAATTAAACAGTATTAATTACATTTACCAGCCTGAATGTTCAAGAAATTTTGTAGAAATGTGTTCTCCAACAGGAATCCAACCTGTATTCCTATACACAAACCGTCATTCGATCTGATATGCTATGCCACTCAGCTACAGAGAAGCATCTGGTTAGCAAAGTTCAAATTACTGTTTATGAATGCAAAATCTTCAATGATTTTTCTTGGTCGATTATTTAAATAAATACATTAAATAATTGTTGGACTGAATCCATTTCATATGTTGTCATTATTTATGTTAAGATACATTTCATGAGCACAAATGATCAATCAAGAAAAATCATCTAAGATTGTATTTATAAACAGTAATTTGGACTTTGTTAACCAGATGCTTCTCTGTGGCTGAATGGTATAGCATGTCAGATCAAATGACAGTTTCCCATATAGGAATATAGGTTTGATTCATGTTGGAGAATATGTATTTTCTAAAAATATTTCTCAAACATTCAGGCCAGGATATGTAATTAATACAGTTTAATTAAAAACAGAACATTTACTTAAATAAATTGTATTTATTAAAATAATGTATAAACAGAAAATATAATAAATAATTGTTAGACTTAATCCATTTCATTATATATATATATATATATATATATATATATATATATATGACAAAGAGAGAGAGACAGGTTTCGTTGAATAATTTAGACATGTTCTGTACTTATTCTTGATAGGATCCTTTCATATTTATGGATAAGCTTTTTTGTGTGATTATTGAAAGATGAGAGAAAATCACAGTGTTGATACATATTGTATTTATTTTCAAGTACTTTTGATATAGCACAATGTCATCATCAGAGCATTGTTAATTACAGGATTATTGTAGTGTTCATTGTTGTGAAAGACAAAAAGTGTTGTCATCATCTGAAAATTAAATTTCTTATATAATATATATATATATATATATATATATGGAATAAGGAGTGTGCAGCATGGCATGTCAATGGAACACCGTTCAAGGGGAGGTAACTAGGTATGTTGTGGACAGATTTTACGAAATAAATAGTAGAAAAAATATAGGAAAGAACTATCTATTGTACACACAGTTCTTTCCTTTATTTTTTCTACTACTAAAATTAAATTGTAATATTTTTTAATTTGTATAATTAATTAAATTATAATATTTTATGTTGTATTTGTATTCTTAATTAATATATCATTTGAAATGGATAAATACACAAATAGCACATTATCAAAATATATATAGTCAAAAAGAAAATAATATACCTACTATAGTTAAATGAGAAATTCTAAACAAATTACCCCCATATATTATAAAATAGGAACTGTAGACTGTAGAAGAAAAAATATCATTATTAACTTTTAATAATCAAATTAAATTATTAAATAAGAAGGTGGAAATAACGGGTCGATGCTGACATATTAACAAATATTTACTTTGTTACTTTAATAATAATATAACATAATAAATCAATTAAAATATTATAATTTAATTAATGATACAAATTAAAAAATA